TAAGACCCTGATGAGAGGGGATCGAAGATGGTCCCCATACATCGGAGTGAATAAGAGCTAGCGGTTCTTTAGACCGATTTACAGAGTTTACAAATGGAATTTTATGACTCTTGCAAGTTTTACAAGGATTGCAGTTATAGTATGCAGTTGGTATATGCAACTGAGGATGAGTGTGAGAAATGGATTTCAGCACTTTGCTGTGGGGATGTCCCAGCCGAAGGTGCCAGTTGTTGTTGGTTCTTGAAACGACGGATAAAGCTTGCTGCTGTGTGCTGCTATGAGACGTAACCACCGGATAGAGGCCATTTTTACATGGACCGCTGAGAAGAATGTTGTGTGTCTGTAAATCCTTAAACACATATCCATTAGGATCAAATGTAATCGAAATCTGATTTTCTTTAACCAGATTAGATATAGATAGCAAATTATATGAAATAGAGGGAATGTGTAATAGGTTAGATAGAAACAGCTTACGGTCGGGTGTAGGTAGAAGACCGGTTCCTGTGTGAGCAATCGGAACAGATCTCCCATCTCCTACGGTTACCTGATCAGAACCGGTGTATGCCGAGCCTTGCGTGAGATTTTATAGACGATTTGTCATGTGAGACGACGCCCCAGAGTCTAGATACCAGTCAGTGGAGGGCAAATCTGTTGTGGCAAGAAGAGCGTTGCTGGTATCTTGCGTATTTTTAGGGGTGGCATAGTTGGCATTGAGTCTATGCCAACAGATATCGGCAGTGTGCCCCCTTTTAGCGCAAATTTGACATGTGAGGGAAGATTTTGATCCTGGTTTATTTACTGTATTAGTGGTTTGAGATGATCGGCCTCTACCGCGACGGCTTCTTCCTCTGATGGTGTATAACGCTGTTTGAGCGTCAGACTGAGTTGCCAGTCTTTGCGAGTCCGCTTGAACATGAATCTCTTCACTGATTAAGAGGGCATACAGAGTATCAAGCGTGAGAGGATGCTGCATTGTACGAACATATGTTTTAAACAGCAGAGGCAATGTTGTCCACTAATTTCTTGATTTCTGCAAGATATGTTTGCATAGACATGTTTTTCATAGAAATATTGTGAAGCTCATTTTTGAGCTGAATCACCTTAGACCGACTTGACGACTGGAACCTTGTCTGCAGCGCTTGCCAGATCTCCGCAGATGATTCAAGATGCATTATATAGGGTAGAACCGGAGCAGAGATAGTGGAACAAATGGCTGCCGCGAGGTTTTGATCTGTGAAAGACCAGGTGTCATCGCGTGTGTTTGGGTCAAGATTCTCTTGATTTTGATTGCTCCCAGATGCCATCGAAGCCGAGGTTGGATCAAGAAAAGCTTCAAAGCTATTTGCCTTGAATAACTTCAGGATTTGATTTCTCCAAATCGGGTAGTTTTCGGCAGACAAATGATAAGGAACCAGAGATTTAAGATGCGACACAATGAATTTGAGGGAGGGATAGAGGGCGAATCTGTCGGTCGTGGCCGCAGAGTTAGCCGCCGTAGTTGAAGTTTGAGAAGACGATGTCGCCATAAGGAAACGATGCCCAAGAACTTAGACCTCTTCTGATACCATGTTGAAACCCAAGACCATTCTTTTGGATCTTGTTCAGAGCTTGAAGAAGAAGACAAATCAAGAAGACAATTGAATTATTTCTGTATATCATCTCTACAGAGCTATTACAGTTGTATATAAAGACATACAGCCGAAATGCATTTACACGTGTAATCAATCTATTGGATAGCAAGAATACAATGTATTTAATAGTATTTATTATTGCTAGTCTAACAGCCCCCCCCTCAAACTAACGAGTTCTGTGTTATGGTTAGTTTGTGCCGGAGAGTCTTAAATCTTGAGGTTGACAGTGGTTTAGTTAGAATATCCGCCAATTGATCCACTGTGCTTATAGGAAGAAGACGAATTGTGTTGTGTTGAATGTGATCCCGGATGAAATAATGATCTATCTCAATATGTTTAGTGCGAGCATGAAAAACAGGATTGTTTGCCAGTGCAATTGCTGAAGTATTGTCGCAATAGACATCAACCGGTTCACTGTGAATAATATTGAAGTCCGCCAGTAAGCGTTTTAGCCAGATAATGTCTGCTGTTGCTGCCGCAAGAGCTCTATATTCAGATTCGGTAGATGATCTTGATACTGTCGATTGCTTTTTAACTGTCCATGATACTAAGGTATCACCGAGGAACGTACAAAATCCAGAGGTTGATTTTCGGGTGGTAGCGTCTCCTGCCCAGTCGGCATCGGAGAACGTTCGAAGTTGCAGATTTTTCTTGCTGATGGGTAAGCCATAGGATGCCGTTCCTTTGATGTATCTGAGCAGCCGCTTGAGGAGATAACTGTGAGAAATGTCCGGTTTGTGCATGTGTTGGGAGAGCACATTTACCGCATATGCAATGTCTGGCCTGGTAATGGTCAGATATTGCAATGCGCCTGTTAGACGGCGGTATGTGTGAGGATCTTGAAGATTTGTATCTGGTAAGAAATCAAAAGGTAGTTTTGTACAGCAAGGATTTGCTAAAGCATTACAGTTAGATAGATTGGCTTGATTAAGAAGAGAATTAGCATAGGTAGTTTGGGATAAGAAATACTCATCGGAACCGGAGTGAATATGGATGCCGAGAAAGTCCTTTGCCGGACCGAGAGACTTCATAGTAAACCGAGAGCTCAGACAGTTGATCAGCGTCGAGATAACGGCTGAGTCATTTCCGGTAAGTAGGATATCGTCTACATAGACAAGCAAGAATATGTGGATGTCGTCTCTGTTGAGAATTAAAAGAGATGGATCCGCTTTGCTGTATTTGAATCTGATATCTATCAGATAGGTTGTAAAGGTTGTATACCACTGTCTTGGAGCCTGTTTTAAGCCGTAGATCGCTTTGTGAAGGTGACAGACATAATTTGGATGAACCGTGTCTTCAAAGCCTTTCGGTTGGCGCATGTAGACCATCTCATTCAAGTGTCCATGAAGAAAGGCGTTTGAGACATCTAGTTGGTGAACCCGCCATCCATGGAATAGAGCAATTGTGAATAAAATTCGGATTGTAGGAAGTTTTGCGACCGGGCTAAAGGTCTCGCCATAATCTAATCCAAATTCCTGATTGTTTCCTTGAGCAACTAATCGCGCTTTGAATCTTGCAATTGACCCATCCGCATTAAACTTTTTGCGAAAAGTCCAGCGACATCCTAAGACTGATGCATTGTTAGGCAATGGAACTAGGCTCCAGGTGCCTTGCTTTTGAAGCGCCAAAAATTCGGATGCCATGGCTTGACGCCACTCCACATGTTTGCTGGCTTCCGTGTATGTGGTTGGGACGGAAGTGTCAACTGCTGAAGCCTGTTGATGTAGAAGATTGAATCGTGTGGTGGGTTTGAGTGAGCCCGTTCGTAGCCTGGTAATCATATGATGTCTGCTTGCATTCGTGTTTATTGAGTTCGAAGCTGGTAACAGAGTCGTGGATGTGTGATTGACTGTATCAGCAGTTGTAGTAGGTGGGGGTCTGGATGTGGATGCATCCAAGTTCGATCTGAGAGTTTGAGGATGAGGTTCAATTGTTGAAACTGGAACCAGCAATGGAGCCGGTACCTCCATCGAGTGTTGCTCTTTGGCAGATTCTGTTTGCTTGAACGGAAAAGAGTCTTCGGAGAATTGAACATTTCTTGATATTATGATGCGATTGGTACGTTGATTTAAGCAGTGGTATCCTTTATGATTATCACTGTAACCTAAGAAAATACAAGAAAGTGAGTTGGGTTGAAATTTAGTTCGTGTATGAGGAGGAATCAGCGGGAAACATTCGCATCCGAAAATCCTCAAATGCAAGTACTCAGGTTTAATGTTAAACATAAGTTGAAGAGGTGGTATGTTGTGGGTTGTTGCTGTTGGTAGTCGGTTGATAAGGTATACTGCTGTATTAACCGCATCGGGCCAGTATACCAGCGGTACAGAGGCAGTTTGAAGAAGAGTACGAGCGGTTTCGACAATGTGACGATGCTTCCGTTCTGCTACGCCATTCTGCTCCGGTGTATACGGGCAGGATAATTGGTGTTGAATGCCTTTGGATTGGAGAAATGTTCTGAATGTTTGATTGACATATTCGGTTCCTCCATCTGTTCTAATCACTCTAATAGAGCGACCTGTTTGCTTTTCAATGAAGTTGATGAAATTAATAAATAATAATGGAACATCAGATTTATGCAAGAACGGGAATATCCAAGTAAAATGCGAGTAATCATCCACCATAATGAGATAGTATCTAAGACCCTGATGAGAGGGGATCGAAGATGGTCCCCATACATCGGAGTGAATAAGAGCTAGCGGTTCTTTAGACCGATTTACAGAGTTTACAAATGGAATTTTATGACTCTTGCAAGTTTTACAAGGATTGCAGTTATAGTATGCAGTTGGTATATGCAACTGAGGATGAGTGTGAGAAATGGATTTCAGCACTTTGCTGTGGGGATGTCCCAGCCGAAGGTGCCAGTTGTTGTTGGTTCTTGAAACGACGGATAAAGCTTGCTGCTGTGTGCTGCTATGAGACGTAACCACCGGATAGAGGCCATTTTTACATGGACCGCTGAGAAGAATGTTGTGTGTCTGTAAATCCTTAAACACATATCCATTAGGATCAAATGTAATCGAAATCTGATTTTCTTTAACCAGATTAGATATAGATAGCAAATTATATGAAATAGAGGGAATGTGTAATAGGTTAGATAGAAACAGCTTACGGTCGGGTGTAGGTAGAAGACCGGTTCCTGTGTGAGCAATCGGAACAGATCTCCCATCTCCTACAACATAAAATTTTAAAGAAGCTTTCACAAACCATGACTATCTATTGACCCAGTTGGCCTGGTAAATAAATAAAATATTGGATCAAGCCAGCTCGCTTCCATTTTCTTTTTATCGTCTTTCTGTATTCCCTTAATCCCTCCCTCCGACCGCCACTTTACCCTAACAGTTGCTCCCGACGCCGCCGTACTTGGCTTCGCTCGCTGGCTCAATGCGTTCTATCGGCAATAACATCCGATGACCTTCAAGTTTGTCTTCTTCGCCTCTGTGTAAGTGGCCTTGGTGGGGATAATCTCTAGCCTCGACTGTAGCCTTTACTGTCTCTCCACATTGTGCCATTGCTTCAAACTCTTTCAAGTGCCTCCGCTCAGCCACCGATCCCTAGTCAGATTTGCCTAATTTTTATCAGCATCTTATTTATTAAGGTTGCACTTAGTTAGCTTTTTATTTTCTTGAACAATTACATAAAAACGCGATTAATTAGTTTGATATTTTGTTTCATCACCATCATATTCATATTGTTTGCAGTTTTAGAACCAATTTGTTAAATGTATTCAATACATGGACCTGATGATTTAAATTGAGGAACTTAACAAAATTAAATATATTTGGTACAAATTTTTAAAGATTGTTTAATTTTAATTATTCTTGTATATTTTGTTTCTTAAACTAATACAATTGATATGTCATAAAAATTTGACTTTATCGACATGAATCTTGATGCATATCTGAATTGGAAATTGATGGAATCAAAATCAGGAACATCCACATTAGATGTTATTTTTCCTGAATAATATCTCAAAATTAATTTAGTTGGATGACTTCGCTAGGTGATAAGTGTTTGTCTTCTTGGAGAAATTATTTTGTACGGAGATCGGATATGGAACGACGTTCTGAGACTAACTAGAACGTGCCAATTACGTCAGCAGTATCGAGCGGCGGTACGAAGCAAGGGGTGATGTGGCACATTCTGATTGGTCTCCGGATGGATTAATTTTTCTTCTTCTTGAGAGCTTTTGCTTTTATGCAAAGAGTAGTCTAATAACTTCTTAGATTTTGATTCAAGTAGTCAACTTTTTTATTGTTTAATGTAAGTACTTTTTTTTCTAAGTGAAGGCTCGAAATTTCCCTCTGTTTGCTACAGTTCGGCCTCGTAGAGTGGTTGTCGCACCCGCTAGATTAAGCATTCTTGAAAATGCTAGCAACCTTAAATTTCTTCATGCACCTCAGATAAGTAGCAATCACGGACTTCCTGAACAACTCTTCATCAATGAGTAAGTATTAAGTTGCATTTATTTTAAGTGATCGAAGATCCTTTCCTCTTGCCAATGAAAAATTATGCTGTGCGGACACTGAATGCAGCTCTACATCTAGAGGCCAATTAGAATGAGCCACATCAGCATTACCGAGCGCGGTACCGACGTGGCTCATTCTGATTGATCTCCGAACGACGTTCTGCGTCCGCACAAAATAATTTCTCCTTGTCAAGGTGGTGCTCGACTTTAGGTATTTTTTGAAAAAATCCACCCAGCTCAAGTTAGTCGACTTCCATTTCCTCCACTTCTTCAATGGTAGACAATTAAACTTTAAAATATGTCCTCCATAAATTCCCATTTTAGAGAGTAATTCGGTGAAATGACTATGTTTTTTGCTAAGATGATCAATTTTAACATATTCAAATATTCCTATTTCAATTTTCACTTTGAACAGATATTTTTAAAGAACTTCCTATCTTTATACTGTCAATTTATTTGATTAACCGCGCGTTGAGAGTCAGTAAATTCTATTCAACGTTTCACTCCTACATATGCATCAAATTTCAAGTGGAGTCACAACCAGCATTGGACTTCTCTGGATTGTGAGAAATTATTAGAATTTATCTCTTAGATATCTTTTCTCCTTCCTTCTGGCCATAATAGAGGTGCTAATCTCAATATCATACTCATTAACATTTAAATGAAAAATATTTCCAGAATAAAAGCTATTGGATTTCTATAAAATGCGCTCAATTACAAAAAAAATTACAAATTGAGTTGCTATCCTTTGACTCTCTATTTATAGATTTAGGTCGGTGTTTCAGCATTATAAAATAGGGTATGCATATGAACATGTAGAAAATAAGAGAAAATACATTAATTGTGTAACCTAATCAAAAGGTCCAACTTGTTGAAGTTGTTTACCAAGCTTTTAATTGTTAAGACCGCATACAATTTCATAGCAATTTTAAGAAATGCCACGTCAGCTTGTACTTTCTTATTTTGATTATTCCACTTTGCATCGGCTAAATGAATATTTTTTTCTCTATTGTGTCATCTTAAAAGTTAAATTCTTATTTAAATCTAATAAATATAAGTTATCATACAATTTCATAGCAATTTTAAGAAATGCCACGTCAGCTTGTACTTTCTTGCTTTCCGTTAATATAGTTTTCTATATATACTCATGTAATGCTGTTGTAAACATTAAGTAATACAATCTTAAGTTTCCTGTCTCCACGTATTTCCTTCTCGTTTCTTCTCTGCTTCTTCTCAAGAACTATGGCTTTAACATGGTATCAGAGCTTTGAAGCTCTACAGCGTGTTTTTTTCTTCTCTATACTCCTCGTGATTCCTTATGGGCGACGAAGCTTCAGTAGGCTCTCACCGGCAACAGTCCACCATTTCCGGTCCGGACTCTGATCCGATCATTCCCGTTCATCTCAAATTCCTAATCTCGAATATCAAGAACCTCGTTCCCACAATTCTCACATCCGAAAATTATTCAATCTGGTGGCTTCAGCTACATCAACACTTTGTTGCAAATGGATACGACGGTCATCTCTCCGGAGCTACCATCTGCCCACCGGACTCACAACATCCACAACACGTGTGCAAACTCCATAAGTCAATCTACGGGCTTAAACAATCACCTCGACAATGGTTTCACAAACTCACCTCATTCCTTTAGACTCTCGGCTTCACCTTCAGCAAGGCCGATCCCTCACTCCTTTTTAATCAAAATGACATTCATCTATTTGTTTTAATTTACGTTGACGACATATTGATCACATGTAACAACTCACATCAAATTCAGCTAATTCTTCGTCAGTTACAATCTGAATTCAAACTCAAACAACTGGGCGACATCTCCCTTTTCCTGGGCATTCAGGTTATCAAAACCACCTATAGCTATTTTTTAAGTCAATCACATTTTGCACAAGATTTGCTTCTAAGTGCAGGATTCACGGATTGCAAACCCGCGGCCACACCTGCTCCATCCCGTCCGTCGCTGTCCTTCGACGAACAGCCATATGCGGACCCAAAGCTATTTCGCAAATTGGCAGGCTCATTGCAATACCTATCTATCACTCGACTTGACATCGCATTCGCCACAAATTCCATATGCCAACATATGCATCAACCGCGCAATGGTGATTTTCAGTCTTTAAAGCGTCTTCTTCGCTACATCAAAGGTTCTTTTAGCTATGGCTTGCCAATCACGATGGGACCAATGCAGCTACGCTCCTATACTTACGCAGACTGGGCAGCCAACACCGCAGACATGAAATCCATGTCTGACTTCTGCACCTTTCTCGGTTCTAATATCGTCTCGTGGTCGGTTAAAAAGCAAACTACAATAGCGCGATCATCCACCGAGGCCGAATACAAATCGCTCTCCTCGGCAACCTCCGATATCCTATGGATTCGTCGCTTGGCAGAGGATCTTGGCATTCCGCAAATCCGTCCCACAGTAATCTATTATGACAACACTTCTACGATTGTGTTAGACAACAATCCGGTGTTTAACGCAAGGACCAAACACATTGAGATTGACTACCACTTCATCAGCGATCACATACAAAAGGGTCATATTTCAATTGCTCACATATGCACAGCCGACCAAATCGCAGATATACTCACCAAATCTCTTCCCGTCAGCCGGTTTCAGCTTCTACGATCCAAATTAACCATTCGTTCCCATAATGATTAATTTGAGGGGAGCTGCTAAGACTGCATACAGTTTCATATCAATTTTAAGAAATGCCACGTCAGCTTGTACTTTCTTGCTTTCCGTTAATATAGTTTTCTATATATACTCATGTAATGCTGTTGTAAACATTAAGTAATACAATCTTAAGTTTCCTGTTCCATCCACGTATTTCCCTCTCGTTTCTTCTCTGCTTCTTCTCAAGAACTCTGGCTTTAACATTAATAAATCATCGGCTTGACATATATTGATAGTAAAGTGGCTTATAAATAGTTTACCCGAGAAGTTTTCCCTCATTAAATAGTCACCAGGGCCCACTTCATAGATGATAGCCGGTAGGTCTAACTAATAAGCTTTACTTTTTGATTGACAAATTTTTGGTTCATAACCGTCTGCTTGAAGCAATTTCTCTTATAGGCTAAGGAATATAAGTCCGAATAGGTCGAATTAACTTGGTTTCAACCGACTTGATTTAACTCGAACTGAGTCAACTTAATTTGAACAGAAAATTATAAAATATTTGAGTGTACACATACACATTGAAAATAATGAGTTATTGTCACTTCACAAATAGTTAATGTAATAATTGTACTACTGTAGTGCAACTTAAGATTATTTTAAGCCGCTTATCATTACACGATATCAACGTGGATTGCCCTTCTCCACCCGCCTCGTTATCTGTCAATTCTCTCTTTGCATTTTTCTTCTGCCGAGTGGACATCAATAATTCCTTTCTGTTCTCGTCTGGGCACGTTCATACTCGAGTAATTCTAAACACTCGATATTCGAAAGGGATATTTTGAAAAATTGTTTCAAAATACTCTTTAGGTATTTTCAGTTAGAGCATGCCAGCTGTTGTTCTGATTAATTAGCTTCCAAGATATAATTTTGTTCTAAAAAAATTGAACTTTTGACCGTTATCAGATAAAAAGAACTTATCTTGCCCAACAAAAAGGACTTTCTGAGTAAAGAATCACTCATAAAATTAGACAAAAATAAGAGTTCTGCTAGAGCTGAATACCTTATAATCTATTCATCTTGCAACCCAACTATTATAATTCAACAATAATCCATTGGATTGATTAATCTTTTACTTGACTGCCTTTGTTGCAATCAGCATAAGAGCCTCTCTTTTGCGCGTAGTAAGTGCATAAACTTCACTCATATCTATATCTTCTATTTCGCCCTTTGCTGGCTTCCAGTCAAAGACATACACCAGGTTAGCTATAGCAAGCTCAATTAAAGTCACAGAGAATTTGATCCCAGGACAAGATCTCCTTCCTGCACCAAATGCCAAGAGCTGGAATCCATGGCTACTAAAATTTATGTCTCCTGCTTCTCCATTAATGAACCTTTCCGGTCGAAATTCTTCTGGGGAATCCCATATCTTGGGGTCCCTTCCTGTAGCCCAGGCATTGATGAGGACCATTGTTCCTTTAGGAATTCTGTAGCCTTTGATATTAGTGTCCTGTATAAGCTGTCGTGGTATTATTATAGAACCTGGAGGATGAAGCCTGAGGGCCTCTTTTACTACTGCTTTGAGATAGCTCATATCTGCCAATTGCTCTTCTTTGATACATGCTTCATTGGGGCCTACTACTTTGATTATTTCTTCCTTGAGCTTTTTCATGGCGGCTGGGTGGCGGATGAGCTCGGCCATGGTCCATTCCATGGATATGGAGGTTGGGTCTGTTCCCGCGCCAAACATGTCCTGTTGCATGAGTAGTGAAAATAAAGTTCAATGATTATTAAAAAAAATGAAAAATTTGGATGTTATGATTTTAATTTTATTAGAATAAAAATTTTAATTGTTAGATTTATTTAAAGATGAATATAACTATATTCAATCAATTCATTTTTATATTATGCTCACTTTAAAGTAAATTCAATTACTAAAAAACTATTTGTCGAGATAGTTAAATCATAACCCAACAAGTGAAATAAAAATTAACAAAATCTAATTACCTTAACAATGGCTTTAATACTCTCACGATCAAATACAAGACCCTTACATTTCAACTCCCCTTCAAGAGTCAACAAAGCATCTAAAAAGCACTCATTAGTTGCATCGTCACCATCTCCTTCTTCCTCCTTCCTCTTTGCTATTTGCCTTCTATGCTCCTTCACGATTCCCTCAAGAAACTTATCTGATCTCTCAAATGCATTTCTCAGTTTCCTCTCAAACCCACTCACAAACCCAACTATCTTCCCCAACCATGGTATATAATCACCAACATAGAACTCCCCTATCATTCTTGAGCTCTCATCTATGAGCCTCCTTAAACCATCCCCCCACAACTTATTTCTTGTCGAGTCGCCGATCACTGCGCGGCTTATAACATCTCTCGAGAGTGCATGAAACCTCTCAGTCATGTCAACCAACATCGTTCGCTCAATCTCTTTCATCATAAAGGTCAATTCCTCCTCCCTCCCTTGTTTATAGGAACCCACCTTCTTATTGCTTAGGAGGTGGAGGATAGTTGCCTTCTTCATCTCCCTCCAGTATTCACCATAGGGGGCAAAGGCGATGTCACGACCACCGTAAAGGATTGTGTTGGGGGCCTTAAGAGAAGGGCGGTTGGCGAAGAGGTGGTCTTGGGTTTGGGTGATTTCACGTATGATGGAAGGGGAGGAGGTTACGAGGACGGGGAGGTGACCAAGTTGGAGGAGCATGATGGAGCCATAGCGTTCAGAGAGAGAACGGAGGGAACGGTGAGGGCTAGAACCAAGTTGATGGAGGTTGCCGAGGATGGGAAGCTTAGGGGGAGAGGGTGGGAGGGGTTGAACGCCACTAGTATTGATAATAGTAGAGGTATTAGTAATGACAGTAGCAATATCGGCAGTGCTCTTCTTGAAGAAGAAGAGAGATGATAAAACAATTGCTAGTATTGTAAGAGCCAGCATTAGTAGCATGGCCGGAGGATAGAGAAGAAGAGGGACTATGGGAGAGGAGGGACGCATGCTCTTTACAAGTTTTTTTTTCCTTTCCTTTTCTTTTGTGGATTGCGTGGTGTGGGAGTAGAGGTGAGAATTAGAGTTTTTATAGATTTAAATGGCATATTGGTTAGAAAAATGTATTCACATAATAGTTGCTGACAATATTGTGGTTGGAAAAAATTGTATAAATATAGGTAATGTTATTTTTTAATAATTTGATTAGCTTGAATTTAATAATTATTCAGGTCATGGAATAGCTGCTCTTGTAAATTTATTAAAAATCAATTATTCTTACTGAATGGAAATAATGAATAAATAATAATGATCGTACAAGTTTTTCATTACTCTAAATGCCTAGAATATACTATGCATACAAATTTTTTGAGTAAAACTTACATATATGTATATATTGGTCCAGTAAGACCTCGAATTCTAGGACTATATTTTCTCCAAATTCTCTTTTGGTGGCTATCAATGCCATGATCAATTAGATTTTTCTGCTTCTTGTATGTAACGTAAGCAGATTCGGGTTGAGCGCACTCAACCTATGCTTTGCACACTCAACTCATGGGGAAATTATTCGGTGCGGAGTCTGGAAGTCGTTCGGAGACCAATAAAAATACGTCACGTCACCACAAAAATGTACGGCGTTTGATACTGAGCGGTACCGGATGATTCTCCTGTCCGATGTCCGCACAGAATAATCTCTCCGATCCATACTTTGCTGTGGCAAAGATCCTTGTGACTACAGCAAGGCCACGACAACCATCATTTCTTTTGTGACTGTATTTTCTTTAAATTCTCTTTGTATTTTTCTTCCGCTGTCATCACAATAGCCACAAGTCATCAATTCATTTAAATTACAATATCTTTATTTCTGTATGACTGTGCGGTGCTTCAATAATTTCTTGTTCTTTTCTGATTAGCACTTTCATATATATACTTAGGTTTTGTTTGGGACGACCGGACGACTTTCTTTCTGCTTCTTAAAGCAGCTTCTTAGTACACTTTCTGCTTCTTAAAGCAGCTTCTTAGTACAAAAATTGTAATTTTTATACTAAAAAAATGCTTTAAGAAGCAGTAAAAAAACCGTCTCGAATGAAGTCTTAGTCCGATTAATTAGATTTTTTATGACATTCTTTTAATTTTACTTTGCAATAATTTTATTCTAAAAAACATAAACTTGTAAGTTGTAACCTTTACAAGATAAATATTGTTGATCTTGCCAAATAAAAATGACATTCTGAGCAAAAATTCACTTGTAATGTAAGATAGCTAATGTTTTTTTACTAGACTGCTATAAATATCTTATTACTAACAGCCCATGTGCAAAACACGATCGGAAATGAGCTGAAAGAAGCAAGAAGAGCCGCAAAACAGAGCATTCTCAGCCACATATTTGTTATCAATTCTCAGCCACATGTGACACGTCAGCGTGTACAGTAAAATCTATAAATAGCCATGTAATATCTGATGTAATAATTCAAGGAATTCAAGAGTGAAATTTATACACAAATTCCCGCGTACCTTAGTTCTGTCTCTTTTGAACTTCTTTATTGGTATCAGAGAAATTCCGCATTCGTCTCAGACTTTTTTCTCCAGGTACCATCATGAACTCATCTGCATCCTCTCCCACTATCAACACCACACCTGCAACATTACAACAATCTACAAATCTCACAATTCCTTCTACATTGAAATTTCTGATGAGCAACATCAAATCTCTCGCCACCTCACCTCTAATCACAGAGAACTTTCCAATATGGTCATCACAAATAACCAAGATATTAGCAGCAAATGGATATCATTCTTTCATAGATGGAACTGCACCCTTCCCTTCCCAATTTGTTTTAAATGATTCAAATCAATCTACACTAAATCAAGATTACACAATGTGAAAATTGATAGATCAAAACATATGCGCGGCCCTTTACTCCACAATTTCTCCCACAATTGTACCTCATATCATAAATCTTGAGTCATCCAATGCAATATGGATTACACTCAAGAAAAGACTTCAATCAACCAATCATTCAAGAGTTATTCAACTCAAAAACGAACTTCACACTGCATCAATGGGCTCAGGCAATGTTACTCAATTCCTCACACATCATAGCTCTGGTTGATCAACTAGAAGCAGTCGGCTGCCACATAGATTCTGAGGATATAGTTTTATATATCCTCAATGGCCTTCCACCATCATTTCAATCATTCAAAACAGCCATACGTACCAAACTGGAACCAATACAACTCGATGACCTCTATGCAGTACTAAGTAGTGAAGAGATCATCATTCAGTCAGAGACACAAAAACATCAATCAAATTTGCAGATGGCATTTTACACTCACAGGGGCCGCGATAGAGGGAGAGGTCGAACCTCAAACTCTACTTGAGCGCCCAATTCAACCAACTCAAATCCCAAAAGACCTTCAGTCCAATTGTCAAATCTGTGGCAAAATGGGTCACACTGGTTACAATTGTTGGCACAGAACAAATCTGTCCTATATCCCTTCAAAACCTCAACAAAATCCTACAACTCTAGTTGCCAACAACGACACAAATGATCTCTCAAATACCGACTCAAACCAGAACAACTGGCTTCTGGACACCGGAGCATCATCTCATCTCATATCAGACATATCTCAAATTCAAGAAATGGCAGACTACAAAGGAAATGATCAAATCACAATTGGCAATGGTTCGACTCTTCCCATCTCAGGCAAAGGGATGCTTCCAACTCGAAACTGTAAGCTCAAACTCTCAAAAATATTTCGTGTACCATCTCTATCTCACAATTTGCTTTCAGTTCACAATCTAACAAGTGACAATAACTGTATCATTGAATTCGACTCTGGTGGATTCAAAATCAAGGACAAAATAACACACAAGGTGCTTCTCAAGGAAGAAGTCAAAAAGAACTATATCAAGTTCAATCTCATCGTGCTTTTCACGCCGGATCATCCACCAATTTATGGCACCATAGATTGGGTCACCCGCATCAAGCATCTATTCAAGCTATTTCAATAAAGAATCCACATCTTAGAATACCTACAGTTTTACCCTTTTGCAACTCCTGTAAGGCTTGTAAAAGCCACAAGTTATATTTTCCCTCTTCTAATAGCAAAACTTACAAATCGTTTGAATTAGTACATTCAGATGTTTGGGGTCCAGCACCCATCACTTCTCAGGGATTCAAATACTATGTTTTGTTCATTGATGACTATTCCCATTACACTTGGCTCTTTCCAATGGTCACTAAATCTGAAACAATACACAAGTAGACAATTTCACACACATATATCAAGAATCAGTTCAATTAAAACATACAAATATTAAGAACAGACGGAGGGGGAGAATACACATCAACAGAATTTAGTAATTACCTCATGTCTCATGGCATAGCTCATCAGCTAAACTGTCCTTACACGCCCGAACAAAACGGAGTAGCCGAGCGTATGCATAGGCATCTCATTGAAACCATAAGAACACTGCTTATGGCAGCAAACATTCCTCAATCGCTATGGACATACGCTTTAACCACAGCTGTTCACCTCATTAATCGCCTACCATCTAGAACTACCAAAATGACATCTCCACACTATCTCTTGTATAACAAACATCCTAGCTACAACCATCTCAAAGTATTCGGATACTCCTGTTTTCCCTGGCAAAGACACCAAGCTCTCAACAAGTTATCTCCCAGAGCACTCCAATGTGTGTTTATTAGGTACTCAACGAGTCACAAAGGATACCATTGCCTCAATCTCTCAACAAACAAAGTAATAACATCAAGACACATGGTTTTTAATGAACAAGAATTTCCAATGACAACATCATCATCAGACACATCAACAATTCTTAACAATACTCACATACCGCACCTTTTGCTTATTCCTACACAGAACTCACCATCACCCAGAAAAGCTCAAACAATCTCATCTCCCATACCAAACTCATTAAACAGACGAACACCACAAACAATCATCTCCCCAGAAAACACAAACAAACTCATCTCCCCAGAATTTACTCAACACCAGACAACTACATCCTCTCAAACTACATCTCCTAACATATCTACCCAACAAACACAAACAGACTCATACACCATACCAGCTGCTCCACCCACACAAATTCATCACCCCATAATTACCAGATCCCAAACCGATAATCTGAAACCAAAACATATTCTCAATTTACTTCATCAACTCAACCCATCCATAGATCCAACTTCATTCACCATAGCCTACAAATCAGCACACTGGAGAAAAGCAATGTCAGACGAGTTCATGGCTCTACAACATTAAGGTACGTGGTCATTGGTACCTCCTCCAACCGATCAACCAATTTTAGGCAGTCGGTGGACGTTCAAAACTAAAAGACACGCAGATGGATCAATAGTCAGATACAAAGCAAGATTGGTGGCTCATGGACACACTCAAGAATATGGCATAAACTATGAAGAAAATTTCAGCCTGGTAGCTAAAATGCCAACTATAAGAGCTCTCACAACTCTTGCAGTTCATCATCAGTGGACAATTCATCAACTGGACATCTCAAACGCATTTCTACACGGACAACTAGACGACATGGTATATATGTAGCAGCCTCCTGGTTTCAAAGATTCACAGGATCCTCACTTCGTTTGCAAACTGCACAAATCAATTTACGGCTTAAAGCAATCGCCTCGGCAATGGTATTCCACATTCTCCAAACACCTAACAGCCTTAGGATTCATACATAGTTCTGCTGACCCATCACTTTTATGTCATAAAACAGAACACACACACACACATATCTTTTGGTATATGTAGATGACATACTCATTACTGTAAACAACCCCACATACATCCATCATTTACTACAACGGCTACACACCAAATTTCAACTCAAAGAGTTGGGACCCATTTCAACATTCCTTGGTATCCAATTCATCAAAAACGAAAAAGGATACATACTGCACCAACAATCATACATCCTCAAAGTTCTAAATGAAGCAGGCATGATCAACTTTAAACCCATATCAACTCCACTTCCAACAAAACCCATATCATAAACAATCTCAAAACCTCTCCCAGAACCAACAA